ATAATTGAGTAGTGTTTGGTCTACTGACAAATGCACATTCGGCTATTGATACTATTTTTCATAGTCTAGCTCTCGAACCAGCAACTGTTGCATTCGTCACCTGATTTATTTTTTGTCTTGTCTCGTTATGCTTTGTTGTGTCTCAACGCCGACGCCCCAGCCAATCGGACCTTCCGGGACTTTCGAGCCAACCGGGCCTGACTTGTAACCCAAGCCAGGGGGAGGGGGATCAAAAGATGCATACAATTAGGTCCCATTTCTCTTGGTTGCTAGCACGAGGTGGGCCATCTGTTGCCGGTTTTTAGGTGTGTTTTCTTTAAGAATAAAATAACCCCAAAGAGTGACACACTCGCGAGCAGACGGTGAGTTGAAGAGAAACTGAAATCTGTTCAGCCAGACTTTTTGGCACGTTAACACGACGGCCTGAAGATGGCATTCTTGTGCAAATAGACCGTCGAAAAGGGGGCAAGACGAATCCCACGACTGCAGCCCCATCCGCCCACCCCCTTTCAACAGCTTCAATCCCAAATAACTCTGCTCCCTCGCGGACTGGACAAAGTCGCAAACGCAAAAGCGACTTGTGCACCGCCGCCATCTGTCGACAAGGCCTCCGGGGTTCGAGACCCCGTGCGTCTCGTTACGCGACTGTTACGCAGCCAGCCCAGACCCTGGCAACCGGTGATCGGTTCGCATGTCCACAAGAGTACAACTGAACCGAGGTCAACACCACAACACGACTGGTGACTGACGAAAGCCATAATGTTGCATGATATTGACAACTGTCGTCATGGTAACAGTTGAAGCCAACATGATCTCGATCATGACTGGTGTGTAGGGCTGTTTTAGGCAAGCCGAGTCGAGCAGACCTGCCGCGTGAAATATTCGTCGATCTGCAGAACTGCCTCGATGCCAAAGCAGTTGGTGTCTCGAAGTTGACCCAGCATCCGGGCTCTCATCGTCTCGGTAACTAAGAGCAATTTTGCCCGACGTGAGGGCAAAAGGTAGGAGGAGTAAGCACGGGGGGAGGTTACAACATCAACTGACGTGGTGCCAACTTTTCGGAGGTCTCGAATAAAACCAGCGGACACGCTTTAATGCACACAAGACCCATTTGCTTGGCTGAGAGGAGAAGGACCTGCGTCGAGAGCCGATTTTCCGTGGTCATGCGAGAGGGGGAGAGCAGAGTGTGGATGAGCAGTTTTCTACCGCATGCAATTGTAAAGCAATTTCGTGCTCAAACGCCTTGACCGAATAAAAAGTGTTCTTCTTTCTGACCCCAAGCTTTAAGTGAAGCGAGAAAACATGGCGCTCATTCGATCGTACCTTCTGTCGACGTCAAATACTTCCCGATTGGGCAGAGCCTCTGAGGCCACAATCCCTTTTTGTCGACAATCACATCTTCACTTTTCCTCGTTACTGTGTTGGATCAGCCTCTGTTCAATGAAGAGAAAGTATCAAAATAAAAATTGCAGTCATCTGTGCTGGTGAAAACAAATGTTCCAGGAAAGAAAAAAGGTCAAAACGGGTTGTGTCTGACAGGAAGACGTGAGAATTGGTTGTCAAGGCCTTGTTATCCAACAAAAGCTATTCCCATACAATGTGATCCGACTTTTCTTTTTGGAAGCATAAAATGGTTTAAAGGAAGCAGATAATTGGACAATTAGGAAGCAGAAGGATGTTTAATTGAAGATATGAAGATCAAGATGTTGTAACCTCTGGTATGGTCGCAGTCTCCTTTCCCATCTTTCGTTTTTAAACTGTTGTAAACGTTATGGTATCATTCCTAAGTTCTGTGACCTTAAGAGATCCTACAACTCAGATAAGGTTAATGAGTATCTCCGCCAGGCTTCTATTCAGAAATTAAGTGAGACCTATGATACAGAACGGAATAATTTGTTTAAGTTTAAGGATATTAAGTCAAAGCTCCGGTGTGATTTTGGCCAGGATTCTGTATCCGGAAGATTTTCAAAAACTCCAGAGCATGAACGACAGAAAATCACGTTGGAT